GGGAAGTTCAAAAAGCCTCCAGCATGGCGTTTTTCCCCGCCTGGTTTTCCCCGCGTTCCAAGCTGCAAAAAAAAGCTGGCCGGGTTCTTCAAAAAGCTGGGCGTTTTGGACACGCGCTTCCCGTCTGTGCCCTTTTTTGCGGTCCAAACCCCCAACCGTTGTTTCCGGGTTTTCTCTTCTGGGCTCCGTCACCCCCAAAGGGGAACGCCAAGGCTTGGGATTTTGGGGCCGCGCTTGGGCCCGCTTTGGCCTCGCGCCTTTTGCCCCTACACGGTCGCCCCAAAAAAGCCGGCGGCGGGCAACCCAAGCCCCCCGTTTCGAAAAAGTGGTGGTTTACCTGTTTTTCAAACGGGACGCAGGTGCCTTCAAAAAGCCTCCAACGTGTTAAATTTTTTGTCGGGGGCGTTTTCGGGGGGCTTTTTGGCAGGCAAAAAAACCGGGAAACTGAGCGAGACCCGAAAAAAAGAAAAGCACAAAAAAACAAAAGCGGGCCGCCTGGGGTTTGTTGGAGGCCAGCGGGGGGCCGGAAAAAAGTCCGAGCGCAAAGGCGAAAGGGAACGGCGCAGCGAAAATTGGGGAAAAGGAAAAAAAAAAACCGCGCGTCGGCGCTGTGGTTTGCCGGGAAGGCCCGGCTGCGCAAGGCCATTTGGCCTTTTCTGTTTTCGAGGTCCTTGGGGAAAAAAAAAGGCCATGGGGGCGTTGTGGGAGCAGGGGGAAGGGGCTGTGTTCACGGATTTTAAGGGACTTTTTTTTTTTTTTGAAAAAGACAGGTGAGTTCTTTCGCTTTTCTTGTTGTCCCAGGCTAAGAAGAAACTTGAGTGCCGTTCTTGGGCCGTCCAAAAAAGCCCTCCGCTTTCACAGGCAAAAAAAAAACCTCAGAACTCCTGGGGTTCAAAAAAAAAAAGCATCCTCCTTGCCCTTTCAGTCTTTCCCTGAGTAAAGCTGGCAAACTTAAACAGCATTTTTGCGGCCAAAACCCCATTTGCCCGGCTAATTTTTCTATTATATTATTTTCGGTTTTGCGCCAAAAAATTAAAAATTTTCTTTAATGATTTCTTTAGTAAGAGAACGGGCGGTTTCTCGCTTTTCTTTTTGCTCAGTGCTCTGTCGTTCCGAAAACTTCGTTGGGAACTTTTCGAAGCGAATTTTTTCTCACCGCCTCAAAAGCTCGCAAAAGGGAAAGCTGCCGGGGGATGACAGCGTGAGCCACATGCCCGCCATTTAAGAATTTTCCGACCCCCGCGGCCTGCTGTGGGAGCGGGAGCGGGCTCTGGCAGGAGCCGTGGGCCGGGCAGGGGCCGAGGCCGACACGGCGCAGGGGGGCGTGGAGGCTCTATTACATCGTAAAGCCATGGACAGCCCCGCCTGGGGACTGAGGTATGGATTTTACGAGGAAGCAGGACGCTTAGCAGGGAGAGTGGGGGACGCTTCCTGGTGGGGCGCCTCAGACCAAGCAAGCACGGAGGCGGACTGGAACCTTCCGGACCCTCCCGCACAGAGCCTGCCTGCTCCTGCTCACGCTGGATCTGTTGCGGTTTGCGGTGGCTTTTTCACCTTTTTGCCCCTCGCAAACTGGTGGACTCAAATGTGTTGGGTTCAAAACAGCAGCTTTTACAACAAAATTATTTTTTTAAGTTGGAGATGTTGGAGTTCGTTGGATGGGAACATTCGTCTGTCTGATGTTTTAAGACATTTTTTAGAAGGCTTTTCCTCTGTTTTTTAAAGCCGGTGCCATGTTACTTGAGGAGAAAAATAACGACGAGTATTATATCTTAAGAAGAAAAAAAAAGCCAAATTTTAGTGTTGCCCCCCATGAGAATCCTACTTCTGCTGCGTTTGTTAGTTCTCGTAAGTTTAAAATCATAGACATAAATTAACTGTTTTGAGTTATACAGTTACAGGCCGGGCGCGGAGCGCTCACGGCCTTATCCCGCCACTCTCGAGGCCGAGGCGGGGAGATCGCTCGAGGTCAGGACTCGAGACCAGCTGAGCAAGAGCGAACCCCTTCTCTACATAAAAATAGAAAATAATGGCAACCAATATATATAGAAAAAAAAATGAGGCCGGCATGCGTGGCGATGCTGTATTCCCGCTACGCGGAGGCTGAGGCAGGAGGATCGCTTGACAGGAGTCATGGGTTGCTGCTGAAGCGAGGCTGACGCCACGCGCACTCACTCTAGGCGCTGGACAACAAAGGAGACTCTGTCTCAAAAAAAAAAAAAAGGCCACTCCGCGCCGGGTCGGACCCCTGCCTCCTATTGCAGTCAGCTTTTCTTGCCTCCGCCCGTCTCATCGGCTCCGCCTTGGGCGTCGTGGGGGGGGCGTCGCGGATTGGTCCGCGTCCGCGCGCGTCCCGCCAGCGCCGGTGGTCGCCTCGACCCTGTGCGCGGGCCTGCCCGACCCGTGCGGCCAGGCGTCTCTTGGGTCGCGTGCGGGCGTTCTCAAGGCGGCGCTGGGGGTGGGCGCTGGGCCTGGCGCTCGGGCGCGCGCGTCGGGGCTGGGTCTGGCGCTGGGCGCTGGGCTGGGGGCTAGGGCTGGGCGCTGGGCCTGGGCGCTGGCGGGCGCTGGGCTGGGGGTACTGGCGCTGGGGGGCGGGCGCTGGGGCTGGGCTGCTGGGCGCTGGCTGGGCGGGCGCTGGGCTGGCGGGCTGGGCGCTGGGGGTGGCGCTGGGTGGGCGCTGGGCTGGGCTGGGCCGCTGGGGGCTGGGGCGGGCGCTGGGCGGCGCTGGGGCTGGCGCTGGTGCTGGGCGCTGGGGGCGGTGGGCGCTGGCTGGGGCTGGGGCTGGGGGCGCTGGGCGGCGCTGCGGGGCCTGGCTGCGCTGGGGTCTGGGCTGGTGGTCGCTGGGCTGGGTGGCCGCTGTCTGGGGCGGCGCTGGGCTGGCTGGCGCTGGGGGCGGGCGGGCGCTGGGCTGGGCGCTGGGGCTAGCGCTGGGGCGGGCGCTGGGCTGGGCTGGGCGCTGGGTCTGGCGCTGGGCGGCGCTGGGGCTGGGCTGGGCGTGGGGCTGGCCTTTGGGGCGGGCCGCTGGATGCTGTGAGCGAGGCTGACGCCACGGCACTCACTCTAGCCCGGGCAACAGAGCGAGACTCTGTCTCCAAGAAAAAAAAAAAGGAAGTGGCGCTCAGGGCCCAGGTGACCCGGGATCACATGATTCCCCCTCCCCCACCGTCTAGCTGCGTCACCCCAAGCAACTCACTTCCCCTCTCTATGCCTCAGTTTACCCTTGTGCAAAAACGAGGTAAGGACACCCTCCCTTCCCCCCGCCCCCGCATCCTGCTGCTCCGTGTTCCCTGCGGACACCCCAGATGCCCCCCACCCCTCCGCAGCCGGCTGGCCGGGACACTCACCAGGATGTAGTCAGCCCACATGTCCCGAGCTGATTTCAGGGCGGCCTGGCGCAGCTTCATGACGTGCTCGTAGCGCAAGTCGGACCAGTGTTTGGGGCCCTCCTCGTCCGGGTAGGACCTGGGAAGGGAGGGGCCGCTGTGACACTGGGGGACTGGGGGGCCCGGGGGGCCTGAGCCACACTGGGGGTAATCCCAGAGGGCTTCCTGGAGGAGGGGGCGTGCAAGCTGATCTGAAGGCTGGGAGGGAGGGAGCGGGTCCCTGGCAGGGGACACCTGAGACAGAGTCTCACTCTGTTGCCCGGGTTAGAGTGAGTGCCGTGGCGTCAGCCTCGCTCACAGCAACCTCCGACTCCTGGGCTCAAGCCATCCTCCTGCCTCAGCCTCCCGAGTAGCTGGGACTACAGGCATGCTCCACCACGCCCGGCCAAACGGCTCGTGCAAAGGCCCAGAGACAAGCGGCAGGGGCAGGGCCTGCCTGGGAGCACAGGGCAGTGCTGGAGGCAGAGCCGGGGGTGGGGGGCTGGCACAAGGCAGCGGGGGTGACAGGGTTCTGAGTGCGGGCAGCGGCCTGGGCAAAGGTCCGGCGGGAGGGGTGTGACCTCTCCGCGAAGCTGAGGGCGGGCAGGGTCAGAGCCGCACCGCAGGGCTGGGGAGGCCGGGGCCGAGGGCCTGGGGCTCTGTCCCGGGGCAGCGGGGAGCCACGGAGGGTCCCGGAGCAGCAGCGTGGCCGGTCGGCACTCACCTGGGCTCCTCCGCCGGCCGCCACTCCACGGAATGGTACAGACCCTTCACGGCCACCAGCCACTCCCGCAGCACGGCCGAGGTGTTGTCCGCGTTGTGGTCCGTGGCCACCCTGCCCGCAGAGGGGGACAGTTGGCACGGCTGGGGAGACCGAGGCACAGCCAGGCAGCAGCGAGGCAACTCCGGCTCCTCCGAGGCCCAGCTCGGTCTCCCACCAGCTCTATGTGGCCCCTGGCGGGACTCTTCCCCACTTCCGTGCCTCAGTTTCCCCATGTGTAACAGGAGGTGGAGGGCAGCAGCCAGCTGGCCGGGATGCAGGAGAGATTAATCCAGCGAATCTGGGGAAAGCACATTGGCAACTGGTGGTCTTATCACCGAGCCCTAGGATCGGATGGCCACGCTCGGTAGCTTAAAGTGACATGTGTCACTTAAATTCGTGCATCATGACCCCCAGGCCGCCTTCCTTCAGGCTCTCCTGTAAGCAGCACCACCTTGGGGTGGGCTGTGGTCGCTCAGTCATTCAACAAACGTCTGTGGAAAATCCAGTCCTGTGTTTGTCTTTTTTTTTTTTTTTTTTTTTGAGACAGAGTCTCGTTCTGTTGCCCAGGCTAGAGTGAGTGCCGTGGCGTCAGCCTCGCTCACAGCAACCTCAGACTCCTGGGCTCAAGCGATCCTCCTGCCTCAGCCTCCCTCCCAAGTAGCTGGGACTACAGGCACACGCCACCATGCCCTGCTCATTTTTTCTATATATTTTTAGTTGTCCAGCTAATTTGTTTCTATTTTTTAGTAGAGACGGGGGTCTCGCTCTTGCTCAGGCTGGTCTCGAACTCCTGACCTCGAGCGATCCTCCCGCCTCGGCCTCCCAGAGTGCTGGGATGACAGGCGTGAGCCACTGCGCCCGGCCCAGTCCTGTGTTTGGATCCTGCAGACTGGGGAATCCAGGAGTGGAGGGAAGAGGGACATTCGGAAGTCCAGCTTGACCTCGGAGCCCAGAGCTAATTGTCCCCGACCGGTTAAGCTGACAATAACGACAGCAGTAACAACAATAAAAACAACAGCCGAGCTCTCCTCACAGACAGCCAAGCCCCTGCCGGCCACAGACCCACGTCCACCAGCTGGTTAAGCCGAGACAAACCCAAAAGGAGAATCGCACTAAGGCACCCACTTCCCATTTGAGGAAACTGAGGCAGGGAGTGAGAAATCAGCAATGTGAGCATTGTTCAGGGCTCTGCCCCTTCCCCACCCAGGCTGGCCGCAAACGCCCCATAGGAGCTCCAGGCCCTGGATGTGTTGCAAAGGGACAGCAGGTCTGTCCCCCTCGGGTTCTGCCCCGCAGGGCGCAGAGACGCCGGGCACCTCCAGGCGTGCAGGCAGGACCGGGTCCCGCTGTCTTAATGGAGGGGTCTGTCCAGCCACAAAGGAGTGGCAGCAGGCAGGCCCCGCCCGGACAAGGGGACCACGGGCGGGGGAACCACGTGGACCCACTGGGACAGGGGACGGGGACAGGGGATGCACGTGGACCAGGCGGGATGGGGACGGAGGGACGTGGATCCGCTGGAACCAGGGGGGACGCGGGTGGACCCATCGGGATGGGAGGGGGAGGACGGAGACAGAGGGACGCACTTGGATCTGCTGGAACTGGGGGACGGGGGGACGTGCGTGGACCCAGCGGGACGGGGACAGGGGACGCGCGTGAACCCAGCGGGATGGGGACGGGGGGACGCGCGTGGACCCAGCGGGACGGGGACGGGAGACTCGCGTGGACCCAGCGGGACGGGGACGGGGGACGCGCGTGGACCCAGCGGGACGGGGATGGGGGACTCGCGTGGACCCAGCGGGACGGGGACGGGGGACTCGCGTGGACCCAGCGGGATGGGGACGGGGGACGCGCGTGGACCCGATGGGACGAGGGAACAGGACGAGGGGACGCGTGTGGACCCGACGGGCAGGGGAGACGGGGCGGGGGGACGCGTGTGGACCCAACGGGCAGGGGAGACGGGCCAGAGGGACGCGCGTGGACCCGACAGGACGAGGGAACAGGACGAGGTCACGCGCGTGGACCCGATGGGCCGGGGGAACAAGACAGGGGACGCGCGGGACCGACGGGACGAGGGAATCGGAACGGGGGCGCGCGTGGACCCGACGGACGAGCGGAACAGGACGGGGACACGCGCGGTGGACCCGGATGGGACGAAGGGAACAGGACGGGGGGAGTCCGCCGTGGAACCGGATGATTTGGATGAGCGGCGGACCAGGACGGGGGACGCGCGTGGACCGGATGGGATCCGAGGGAACAAGACAGGGGACGCGCGGGACCCGACGGGCCGGGGGAACAGGACGGGGGACGCGCGGGACCCGACGGGACGAGGGAACAGGACGGGGACGCGCGTGGACCCAGCAGGGGGCGGGACAGGGCGACGGTGGCCGTGGGGACCGGCTGGGGCGGGCGGCTGAGACGGGGGGACCGGGGCCCGGGCGCATGCGGCTCACCACAGCGCCGTGCGCTCCCGCGGGTGCGCAGCCGTCGAGCGCCCGAGCTGGCGGGGCAGCGCGCTGGCGCTGTTCCGCGCCAGCACGCGAACTCCAACGCGCCGGCGCCTGGCAGCGGCGACTCAGGTGGTCCCAGCCGCTCCTCGGAATAGCGGCGGCGCCGGCGGCCGCCCGCGGCCGGCGGGCGGGCCCCAGCACAGCAGCAGTCAAGCAGCGCCGCGAGCGGCGCGCGCGCCGCCCGTCGCCCGCACGCCCGCGGGGCCGCCGCCATCGCGCCACGCGTCGCCTTTAAGCCGCTTTTCCGCCGGCGGACGCGGGCCGCGCCCTGCAGGGGTCACCGCGGCCCCGCCCCTGCCGCGCTCCTTAAAGGGGAGGAGCGCGCGGGGCCGGAAGTCCGCCGCCAGGCCCCGCCTCCCGACGGCCCGCGTGACGTCAGCCGGCAGCCCCGCCCAGATCGCCCCGCCCCCGTCCGCACCTTAAAGGCGCAGAGCGCTCGGAACACGCGGGAGCCGCCAGGGCCCCCAGATCCCGCCCCGCCTCGGGGCGCCTGCTCCCCCGCGGACCTCCGTCCACCTCCCTTGCAGGAAGACCCGGGCTGTGCCACCAGGCGGACCTGGCTCCTTGGGACCTGGGTTGGGACGCGAAGGACCTGAGCCTCAGTTTCCCCAGCTGCAACGTGGGTGTCACCGTCCTGGTTCCAGACCTCCTTCGGGTGCCCTGGAGGGTTGCTGGGCGGGAAGGCCCTGACGTCCACAGACCGCTTCACGTCCAGCCCCGCCGGGGCTCGCTGTGTGCCAGCCTCAGTTTGTCCATCTGTGAAATGAGAGCGCAGGTGATGATGCTGGAACGTGCTGGAACTTGCTGGAACGTGCTGGAACGTGCTGGAACATGCTTGGAACATGCTTGGAACGTGCTGGAACGTGCTGGAACATGCTGGAACATGCTAGAACGTGCTGGAACATGCTGGAACGTGCTGGAACATGCTTGGAACGTGCTGGAACATGCTAGAACGTGCTGGAACATGCTGGAACGTGCTGGAACGTGCTGGAACATGCTGGAACGTGCTGGAACATGCTTGGAATGTGCTGGAACATGCTGGAACGTGCTTGGAACGTGCTGAAACGTGCTGGAACATGCTTGGAACGTGCTGGAACATGCTGGAACATGCTAGAACGTGCTGGAACATGCTGGAACGTGCTGGAACATGCTTGGAACGTGCTGGAACGTGCTGGAACATGCTTGGAACATGCTTGGAACGTGCTGGAACATGCTTGGAACGTGCTGGAATGTGCTGGAACATGCTGGAACGTGCTGGAACGTGCTGGAACATGCTTGGAACGTGCTGGAAAGTGCAGAGCACGGGGCTTCTCCGGAAGCCTGGTTGGCGTTTCCAAGAAGACGCTGCCGAGGGATTGTTTTCCAATACTCCAATGTTGTGTTTTCTAATTGATCATGGTTGTGTCACTCTTAAAAATTAAGTTATGGCGGGGCGAGGAGGTGCATGCCTGTCATCCCAGCACTCTGGGAGGCCGAGGCGGGAGGATCACTCTAGGTCAGGAGTTCGAGACCAGCCTGAGCAAGAGCGAGACCCCCGTCTCCACTACAAGTCACTACTATAAATAGAAATTCACTGGACAACTAAAAATATATAGAAGAAATGAGCCGGGCGTGGTGGCCCGTGCCTGTAGTCCCAGCTACTCGGGAGGCTGAGGCAGGAGGATCGCTGGAGCCCAGGATTTGGAGGTTGCTGTGAGCGAGGCTGACGCCACGGCACTCTAGCTCGGGTGACAGAGTGAGACTCTGACTCAAAAAACCAAAAGAGAAACAGAATGAATGTCTACATCCCTTCCTGGGTAAAGGGAAACAGCTGAAGTCGGCTGTGAAGTGTGAACCCATCTCAGAAGGTGGAGCCGGAGGGAAGACTCTGGAAAGGTCTGGAATATCTCCTTCTCTTGGGAGAAGTTGGAGAGTCCAGGACAGAAGAGGAGGAACGCATCTGCATGGAGCTGGCAGGTCCCTCCCTCTGAAAGCCGAGCGGAGAACGTGACCCGGGAAATCCCTGCGGAGCCCAGTCCGGAAGCAGCTGGAAAGCTCGGGCAGCGGGGAAGCCACCACCTCGAGTGAGCAGATGTCTTTTCTGGCAAGCAGCAGGAAGCCACAAAAGCTTCCGTCCCAGCTGGGAAACTCGATACTAAGTTAAGATTTGGAGCTAGGAAACAAACCCAAAAGGCTTATAGCAAGCTGAGAGGGGGAAAAAAAAAATCTGTGACCTGTATTGCAAAGCTTTAATAACCTTCATATACAAACAGTTATTAGACATCAATAAGAAAGTAATAGACGGGGCGCGGTGGCTCACGCCTGTCAACCCACACTCTGGGAGGCCGAGGCGGGCGGATCGCTCGAGGTCAGGAGTTTGAGACCAGCCTGAGCAAGAGCGAGACCCCGTCTCTACTATAAATAGAAAGAAATTAATTGGGCACCAACGTAAGTATACTCCAGATAT